CTGTGATTATGACACTGAATATCAGGCATGTTCATGCGTTCATTCATCACCTAATAACTTGAAGATGTACTGGCTCTCAGACAAAGAGATCTCAACAAGCAGACCTTGGAACAGAGGTAAATATAGGTAGCGTGATGTTTACATTCTTCTTAAAGCATCCAATCGCTTTCATAGCATTTGACTAAATTAACTGATAAAAAAGAGACATACCCCCAGCCCCACATAAGCCTGCTTGCGTCCACTTCAGTTATCTAGTCTAAAAGGGGTTGGGGGAGTAGAGCTGGTGCTAATAATTCCAAATAATAAATGATCTTTAAGAATTCTCTGTAGTTTGACAATGTGTCTCTATGACATATATTTTAATTTGATTTTGCTTTATTGTTCAGGGAGTGCTTTGTTAAAAGGTGAAATCAAGCCACAGAACTATGTCAAGAAAATTAATTCTACTTCCCTATATTATCCCATTTTTCTTTCAAGTACTCTCTGTTTTCCTTTTTTTTTTTTTTTTTTTTTTTTTGGGACAGTTCTCACTCTGTCACCCAGGCTGGAGGATGGAGTGCAGTGACACAATCTCAGCTCACCGCAACGTCCGCCTCCCAAGTTCAAGCAATTCTCCTGCCTCAGCCAACTGAATAGCCAGGATTACAAGCAGGCACCACCACATCCAGCTAATTTTTGTATTTTTAGTAGAGATGGGGTTTCACCATGTTGGCCGGGCTGGTCTGGAACTCCTGGCCTCAAGTGATCCACCTGCGTTGGCCTCCCAAAGTGTTGGAATTACGGGCGTGAGCCACTGCGCCCAGTCAACTTTCTACAACATGTGGGGACTAACTGTACCTTTTCAGAACAATGTACCAGGCCAACTTGCAAAAAAAGGTGCATTCTTCTCTCCCTCACCTTCCTTAAATTTGTTGTTATTCACTGACTTACAACATTCCTGAGAAAGTCAGAGGAAATTAAAGAGTTCCGTTCAACGCTATCTCTTTCAGGTCCTATAAGGACACAGGATGTAGTTAAGATTTAAAGTAATCAGAGATGGCAGGTCAAGTTTAAGCCACTAAAAAAAATCTGACTAGATGTTAATGCCAAAAAGAAGTTGAGCACAATTTGCCCATGCAAAAGCTGTAATATAAACAATCATCCCATGAAACACACGTAGTGTGTAGTTGAAAGCATTTGCATTCCTCTTACAATGTTATACAAACCCCAAAAATGGAGAGAGGAAAACTACATCTTTACCTCATTTATTTAATAGATGATTTTAAACGATCATTATGACTTGCTATAGCTCAGTTAATAATACAATATCATGGTACTATTGGGGTAGGGGGAGAAGACAGAAGTACTCTAATAGAAATTGCACAAAGGGAAAATAATTACCAACATCCATAGTAAAATATATATTGACATACATGCATACATATATGCATATATGTACACATATGTATAAAAGTATTATAGTATCTTTGTAATCAATTTTTAAATATTTAATCTAAATAGCTAAACAGTATAGTCATAAGGAATAAAACATCAGTTATATTTAAAGTACCAAAATAATGATTGATGTCTAAGGTTTAAGTCACAGTACGTTGTAGTGAGTCTACCAAACACACAACAAATTTATACTCTTTAAGTTCCATCATTGGATCTGTCTACAGTATCCTCTCTATGCAAAACAATATTACACTGTTCATCTCACACACCATAGACTCTAGAGAGGTTAAATGCAAAATCACACACTCTAGACAAAGAGTGCTTCTCCAGCTGAAGAGACTCTCCAGGAGGACTCATGAGTGGCTCACAGCACCTGGCTCAGGGCCCAGCACATTGTAGATGCTCAGTAAAGTTTTGTTAGATTGAACTAAAATTACACCATAAAGATGAATAACTTTTTAGCCCTTGCTTCTATGGGTGACAGCTCTCTGAAACCAGTGTATGAGGGGTCTCACCATGTTTAGTATCCAACATTAGCCATACTCCCTCCAAATTCAGACGGTAGGTGGATATTGGGCTTTAGTGGTAATATATTTAAGATGATTGGTTTAGTATTTTTAAATGCCTTTATGAAGTAAAATTACTGAATCTTTGAAATAGCACAGAAAAATGTTGATATATTCATGTAGTAGATACACGTACTATGATCTGTTGCTAGGAAATCTTATAAATAAAAGTTATTTAATGCTTGATTATTATCCCTGGTGTGATTAAAACAAGTATGATAAATAAATCAGGAACTAGAATCCTCAAAGTTCAAGCTAAATAAACTTTAAAATCTTCTACGGTTATTTGCAAATGATGACATTTTATTATATTTGATTTTCGATACAAAAGTATCCTCTGACCAGGTGTGGCAGTTCATGATGCCTGTAATCCCAGCACTTTGAGAGACTGAGGTGGGAGGACTGGTCAAGCCCAGGAGGTCAAGGCTGCAGTGAACCATCATTGCACCACTGCACTCCAGCCTGGGTGACAGGGTAAGACCCTGTCTCAAAAAAAAAAAAAAAAAGTGTCCTCTAATTATAGCCTCTGATAAATAGCATATGTGGGTTTGCAATATGCAATGTCATTGTCAGTACAATTAAAAAAAAGAGAACTGTAAAAAATTGTTAGAAGTTCCAAGAGGGTAAAAATGTGAACCAAACATACAATATCTAGGAATTAGCTTTTTTGCATTAGGAAAATTGATCGCTGTCCCTGCTAAACTTCTCACTAAGATAATATCTTAAGAGGAATAATACAAAGGTTTTAATGCTTTTAATAAGTTAATTTCATCATAAATAAAAGATCACTCAACTGTTTTGTTTCTTCAGCTTGATAATATAGTCCCAGATTTTCATCAGGGTATTCTTTATATGTTTTTGTATGTCTTAAATATTGCACAATAAAAACATTTTAAGTAATAGAAGAGGAACTCTTCAAGCAGTGTACCGTGGTGTTTTTCTTAGTTAAATGATGAATTATCAAATGCTTGCTCCTCATGGAAGCCTCTTAAGGAAAAGTTAAAACTTTGAATATGTCTTATGGGAAGAGACTGATGTAGCACAAATCATTAAAAAATTTTCACCTAAAAGTCTTCCCGGTCATTTTCACATGGACCAAATGTTCACTCTAGGGCCCAACAAGTATTTGTTTCCTGCATGTATTCAATCTTCTGGAATTTGATATGTCCCACAAGGTTTGGTAACAGTGTCCCAAAGTCAAGGTGACAAAAGAACTTTGCATTAATAAAGACAATTTCAAGCCATAGTCAAATTTGGAGGGAATAAACTATCCCTTTTCCTTATACTTGAAAGTCTTTTTAATATGCGTGTGCCTAAGTTGAATAAAATCTCCTACGTAGGGGGGGAAATACAACGCTTTGCAGTGTCATTTGCATACAAAAGACTGCCAAAATTTTTCAGCCAAAATATTCAGTTTAAAACCTTAAAAAGAAATCTATTCCCATCACTTTGCGTGCCGACTGATTATAAGACGGTCAAGGCCAAATAAATACAGGGTTTCTGAGGTCAGTGGCAAGGATAGCCAGAGATCTGAAGAACAGTGATCTGAGAAGGAATGGAGAAACTGGTTGGGGAGTCTCAAAAAGAGAAGGCTTGGGGTGGAGATATGATGGGCATAACTTCTTCAGGCTTAGCACTGAATCCAGTCAGCATAGCTAATCAGCATGTGATTGTTGAATGAATGAAGGAACCAATGAATGAACTAAACAAACTCACAATAGAGAAGTGGTAGTACAGAAGTAGGAGAAAAGAGTAATTGATGGCAGAAATCAAGGCCTACTTATTTTTGTACTCCTGGTGCTTGATACCATGCCCAGTAAATAGTTGGTGCTCAATTAATACACGATTGGATTAGGATTGTAGCGTAATCACTGACCACTACATTTAAAGCAGTCCAATAGTGGAACAGGCTGCCTCACAAATAGTGAGCTCTCATTTCCGTAGAGGAAATGAGAATCACTTCCACAGATTCTACTTTGGGCCAGGATCTCATCCCAGCAATGGAGCCAGAGGCTGGACAAACACCAGCAGAGATTTTGGAAAAAAACTCTGTGTCCCTCTCAGCACTTCAAAGGTCCCTTCCAACACCCAAAGATCAAAATCCTATGTTATATTGCCAAGCAAGGGTACCTATTAAAGCCTGTTGAAACCCCACAAAAATTTTTTCAGTTGTTTGTTAAAACCCCAAAGACATTATCAGGACTTCAGGACAAATATCCTAGAGGTAGCAATGCCCCCAGCAACAGTGAAGAGTTCTCAGTCTGAGAGGCAAAAACTGTAGTGTAATTAAGAGCTTACCCTCACCTTTAGCCAGCCGCTTCTTCGGGGTTCTAGTGTTTCCAGTTCTTACAGAGTACTCTCAAATCAGCAGTCTATACTGTCTTAGTCTCCTCGTACATACTGATAGTAAAACAGCACCCCAAAACATTTCCACATGCACAAACTTCGAACGTGTGTTCACATATCTTACAAGCAGTATTTTTCCAATGCCACTCACAGCCTGTTAGTGGGTCATTAAATTAACTTAATGACTCCCAACCAACATACATTTTCCACAAATAGAATGAAATGGAAAAGATGGACTAGAACAGAAAATATCAGAGTGCCTCACATCGTAGGATTATTTCATGACAAGTTTGTTTTAGAAATATAAATGTTGTTACAGATACACATGAACATGTAAAACAGATTTCTAATTGTAGGTTAAAGTTCAAAAAGTTTGAAAGCTTCTGGTAGAGAAGATCAGGAAGACAATATCAATAGCTAAGAGCAAAGGCCGGGCACGGTGGCTCACGCCTGTAATCCCAGCACTTTGGGAGGCCGAGGTGGGTGGATCACGAGGTCAAGAGATGGAGACCATCCTGGCCAACATAGTGAAGTCCTGTCTCTACTAAAAATACAAAAATTGGCTGGACATGGTGGTGGGCGCCTGTAGTCCCAGCTACTCGGGAGGCTGAGGCGGGAGAATGGCTTGAACCTGGGAGGCTGAGGTTACAGTGAGCCGAGGTCACACCACTGCACTCCAGCCTGGCAACAGAGTGAGACTCCGTCTCGAAAAAAAGAGCAAGCGCTTTGGAGTTAGACCTATCAAAGTCTGAATCCTAATTCTGCTACTGATATGCTCAAAGATCTTGGCATGTCACTTATTCCTCTGAGCCTGTTTCCTCACCTGTGGAATGGGAATGCTATACAATACAGCACCTGATGTCCAGTGAACAATAATGAGTCTCCTATGAAGTCTCCTATGAGTCTCCTATGAAGATGCCAAAGCTGTGGGCACCTAGGATCTCAGGGTTGCTCCGGGCCTGATCATCCACTCAGATCTCTAAGGAGGACTCCCAGGATCCATTTAGGAAGATTTTCCCTTACTTCCACAAGCATGGCCTTTGGCTCTTAAATACCTGTGCTGGAGTTTCGTAATTATAGAAACAACAGGAACCAAAACTCATTAATGTTGGACTAAAAACCGGAGGGAAGCTTCTTTCTCAAAACAGGGCTCAGGCCTAGGCAAATCTAGTTTTCTGAAATTGCTAGCCAGCAACAGCACTGGGCATCAGGTGCTGCATTGTATAGAGATGGCCATCCCAGAAACAAGGCCAACAAGAAGCATCCAGGAAGGCTGCTAGAGGTTGGGACAAAGAGATCCTTGCAGTCCCTATAGACCCCATGACTTCCAAGGAGCTCCCCTCTCGCCCAGCCTGGACTGTCTTCTCCACAGGGTAGCCAATCATCAGCATCATCTTTGATGTTGTTGCCAAGGGAACTCAATGCTCCTGCCCTCCCTGTCCATCTCCACATGAAAGGAGAGGTTTGGAAGGAGATGAAGCCTGAAAGCATTGGGAGGACACCCCAGCACAGGGAAACAGAGAGACATGTGAAGCCTGGGAGAAGGCCAGTAGTGCAGACAAGAAATGGAATAAAGCAGAGACAGGAAGAGAGACAAAGAAACACGGAAAGAAATAAAAATGCAACCAAAAAAGAAGGTTTTATGAAGCAAACCAAAAAATAAGATCATAACAAAAGGGGGAGAGCAGAAAAGAAAAGTAATGGAAGAAGCTATGAAGACAAGAGACCATCCCTAGGTTATAAGCTGCTTGGTTCACTGTTCCTTCAGAGGGGGCAATGCCTGGGCACTTCCCAATCCTCTGGGAAAAGGGCATGCAGCGGGGGGAGGAGCTTTCTCCACTCCCATTGTCCTACCCCTCCTCAGGTCTGGTCCATCAGGGAAACCTAGGACACAGGCTCAGGGGCATTTGCAGAAAGAAGCTCCGGAGGCTGTCAGATTTCAATACATCCATCCTGCCCTCCACTGCCAGGTGCCACCTCTAGTGTTCCCAGGCCTGCTCCTTTCTCCCCAGAGATGTGGCTTCGGCTGCCAAGCAATTCCTATCTGTCTTGTCATTCTCAGTTGCACTTTCCCTAAGCTCTGTGTGTTTACCCTGTACCTGACACATTTGGGCACACCAATGTTTTTCTAGAGGTCTTTGGGGCTAAACTACACTTTTTGCATTTCCAAGAACTCAGGGAACAAAGAGCAGAGGCCTCAAACTGTGGCCTGGTCTGGCATCCTGGGAATATCTTGGTTATTTGCAAAGGGAACTCCACCCTGTCTCTCAGTCTTCTCTTACTGCCCCCTTCCGTGGAGGGAATGGGTGGCTATGAAAGGACTTGGCCTGGCACTCTCTCCTTCTATGGACTACACCTGTGTCCTCACTTCCAGATCACATGCAAGAGGCACAGTAAGTACTCAGAGAAAATGACCCAGTAGAATCCCAAGTCATTAGTGAGGGGCTTGGGCCTGGACCAAGGCGAAAGCCTGATTCCAAGTCCCTCCCCCTTCTCACCACAATAGGACTTGAACCCACATCTACATCCTTTCAGCTAAAAGAAGCAGGAGTCAGACTTGACACTGTTTCCTAACATGTGGTCCTACAGCAAAAAGGCAGGGGTGGCTCTAGAGGGAGAAAAAGCAAAGAGGGCACTTTGCAGTGCAGTGGTGAAACCCAGATTCAGAAAGTCTCCAGAGCGGGAGGCTCCAGGCATCCTCAGGTCTGTGGAGAGAGCAAAGGGTCTCAACCGGCAGGCATTCTGAGCGAAACCCCAGAGTGTCCAGCCCAGGAAGAGCCGGATGCAAGGGGGAGGGAAGCTCGCTGGTGGCCAGGCCCGGCCAGAAAAATAGGAGGCGCAGAATGTAGGGCTCTGCTGGGCCTCTGGCCTGCCACCTGGGCCCAGGGCGACTTCTTGCTGTGCCACACCCCCTGGCTGCCATGTTCACTCCCCAAAACCTGAGATTTCCCCTCAAAACACAGATGGGGTATGCGGGAATCAGTCCAGCCAGCCACTCTGGCTCTGACGTTCACCGAGGGTGCAGCCTAAGTCACTCACGGCTCCCTAGCTGCCCTGAAGGCTGAAATACAGAGCATCTTTGAGGGCATCTGCTCTATCTGTGGGAAGGGGGACAAAATGCTCAAAATAAAATAAAAGCAAGGGCCAGTACCCAAAGGGGCCTCACTCCCTGTTTCTCTAGACTCTCTGTGGGGTGCCTTTGTGCAGGATTTCTGCAGAAGATAGTCCATTTTGTTAAGCCTTTGAATATTCAAATTGAAAGTATCGCGCAATCATTGATTGTCAAATCATGGGTTTCTAGAGGTTTTAAATACTTGGCATGAGGGGGAAAAAACTCAAACCTATACCCGAAGGTATAAAACATTATTTCTGTTTGTCTCCTGCTCCAGGGATCTGGGTGCAGCCGGATGCTTTGTGAAACTTTAAAAATGTTGCATCTCTGCTTCTCTCCCTGCCCAGGAGCCCTCCCAGGCGCTGAGTCCCTGCAGCTGCAGCATCCAGCCACCGACCCAGCTCCTGCTGACCACGATGTCGGGTAACTCGGCTGCTTCTCCTGGGGTCGGGTCAGGCAGGCCAGGGACATTTCAATCCGGGTGTGTTTCCATAGCTTTTCCTGCATAGAACAGAGAGGCTCAAAGTCAAGGCATGCGAGTAAGGGCTGAGGATCCGGAGAGGGCGCGGGCCACGCTGTGGCCGCTCCCACTCAGCGTCTGTCCCGGAGGGCAGAGGCCCAGAGACCGAGATGGCCTCTCCGGACGTCCGCGTGCCCCAGACCCCCGGCCGCCCTTCCACTTTTCCGCTGTTGTGTCCTTGGACTTCGCGGCGCAGATCCTGCGCGCCCAGAAGCCGCAACTGGGGGAGCTAGAGGCTCCCGGTGAGCCTGGGACTGGGGCAGAGGGCTCCGGCCGCACTAAGCCGAGCTGTGGTGGTCCCTGCCCGGACCCCAAGGGACGCCCGCTGCCCGCAGAGCCCGGAGCGGATCGAGGAACTGGGTGGCTGGGCGGCGGTAGGCTGGAGCGCGGAGAGGGCGCGGCGCGTGGGCCCTGCGGGCGGGGCACAGGATTCCCTGGGTCTGGTCTAGGAAAAGCGTAATCCCCTTTCCTGGGGAGACCCTAGCTCCTGGAACTCGGCTTGAGGGGGATCCCTGCTGTCCAGCTGCGGGCCCTGCAGTGACCAGGAGAGGCGCTGGCATCCTGGCACTATCGCCAGGCGCCCAGGCTGAAAGCGTGGCCACCTCCGGCCGCCGCGCCCAGCTCCCGCTTGTGCGATTCCTGGGCGCTCCCTGCAGGATCGAGGGCCGAAGGTGCCCAGGACTCCTGCGGCCACCTTCACCTTGAAAGCTCGCCCGGCCTGGCTTGGCCTAACAGCAGGTCCCCAACCTACTCACTGCGGCTCTTCGGGGCCCTGGGTGGAGGCTGCCCCTGCTCCCTGCTCCCAGGGTCCCTCCCAGCGAACCCCTCGGGCGCGCGCCCGCCAGCTCCCGCGAGCTGGGGCAGTCTGGCCGGGCTCCGCCAGCCCCAGGGAGGCCCCTACCGAAGGGCAGCCTCCCGGCAGAGTGCGCGGTCCTAGGAGCCCTGGATGGCTTTCCCCAGCTCGCGCTGCTCGGACTCGCCCCGGAGCCTCAGTGCGCCGCAGAGAAACGTCTGCGGCAGAAAGGGAGGGGGTGGGGAGAGAAGGGAAGAAGGGGAGAGCAGGAGCGGGGGCGAAGGAGGGAGGAGGGCAAGATGGAGCGCGGAAAAGGCGGAGAAAAGGGAAGAGGGAGAGCGGGCAGAAGGAAAAGACAGAAGGGAGAGAGGGAGGGAGTTCCTCGGAGGCCTGGCCCCTTTACTAGGGTCAGTCTGGCTGGTCCCTCACCGGCCCAAGACTGGGCTGGCCAAACCTCACCACTTGCCCTAGGACTGGCTTCCAGACCAAAGGGCACGGAGAGGTCAGAGCCTGTCCAGAAGCCACACCTGGCCAGATGGAGAAGGAAGGGACTCGGGACTTCCACACCAGTGGGAACACAGTGGGGTGGGCTAGGTCAGCCGCCATAATCAGAGAAAGCCCCCTGCCCCGGGCCTGGCCCCTCCCCAGGTCCATAATACCCTCTCAGAGGGCTGGGCCCAGAAGCCTAGGTTCCCCCGACTTAGCCAAGGTAGTGGGTTATGGGGCACTGATCTCCACATTCCAGAGCAGCAAAACCTTGTGCTATGGGCCTAGGACTGAGGCCCAGCCAAGGGTGGATGGTCCCACAAATTTCCATGGGTTCTGTTCCCACTGGGGCCCTGAAACCTGCTCAGCCACTCTTCATTCTTTCAAGTTTGAGGTGTTTGGGTTTTTACCATCTTTTGACATTTGTGTGTGTGTGTGTTCTCTGAACTTAGAAACTTGGCTTTGGGTGCCATCGCCTATAAAAGAGGCCCCCACTTTGTACCCTGACACCCAGACCTTGGACTCGACCACTGACTCAGTTGCCTTTCTCCAGAAAAACCAAAGGTGTATCAAGGTGTCCGAGTGAAGATCACAGTGAAGGAGCTGCTGCAGCAAAGACGGGCACACCAGGCGGCCTCAGGGGGAACCGTGAGTATAAACCCTTCCCTCCCTCACCAGCCCATGCTGGGCCTCTTTCAACCCTGTGTCTGCAAGGTGTGGAGGCCACCCAAGGCCCCACGCCCTCACTATCCCCAGACTTGGTCTTCCTCCACTGTTCCTATGACTTCTGTACCCAGCTGCATCCCAATCGGGAAGCCACAGAGGACAGCTGGGGCATGTTGTGTGGCTCAGGATTTGGGAGAGCCCATCCATCCCCCATATAAAAGTAAAGTATAAAAGATGTGTTGGTCCTCTGCAGGGGGAGGAGAAGCCAGCAGGTAAGTAGACATCGTTTTGTTAGGAAGACAGTGTATGTATATATAGCCATCACAGACCCATAGAAAATCTCTCCCAGAAATTCACCTCATTTTAGGGGCCCCTTCCAGGATAGCATCTTTGTACATCCTCCCTTCCCTCTTCTTTCTTCTAGAACTCACCCTCTGAGATCTCTTGTCTGTAAATCATCAGTCACCTAAAGTGGAGTACAGAACCACTTCCTTAAAATGTAACAAAGCCTTAAGCAGTTCCAGGTTATTATAAAATTGAACTGAGCGGTCATTAGGGTATACCCTGACACTTTATACACCTTCTTGCCCCTGCTCCCGACACAGTAGAACCTTAGTAAGTACTGCTAAAAGCACTCAGGGCAGCAGCAGAACCAAACAAACTAGGTGGGATTATTACCCAAAAGAGGGCAGCTCATCCCTAAAAACCCTCGATTGTACAATTGCTTGGGGGTTGGCTTGGGTGTGGACGTAGGATCTGACAGCTGGGGCTCCTATTGCCTATGTTAGGATTGGTCCTTCTCCAGCCTATTGGCATCTGCCCCACAACAGTTTTTGTGCCTGATGCTGTTCATGTGCAATGCATGACATCATGAAATAGGCCTTTGGCAGTGGGACTTCATGAAATGGGAGGGGGCAAATTATGTAGCGGAGGTAAACACAGGTTCCAGAACCAGATGGACTGGGTTCAGGTCTCAGCTCCTCCATGGTGTTTATCCTCAAGCAAATTACTCAATCTGTCTTGCCTCCATTTACTCATCTTCATCTTCATATTGGGGATGATAGGATTTTGTGAGGGTTAATCGAGTTATTGCATACAAAGCCCTTGGAAGAATGCTTTCCACATAGTGAAAATAAATATTCAATAAATGTCAGTTGTCATTATTTGAGAAATAATAATATTATTTGAAGGAAGTAACTAAAATAAAATTCTAACCAAGGGTTGAAAGCCAGCTATTTAGTAATGTTCATTCACACCCTTTGCTCAGAGTTTAGAGTTCAGACGTGAACCAGCTGCAATTTGGCATATACAGCACATGCAGCTAGAAAAGTTAGGACTTCCATGTGCAGAATTTCAGGTAACACATTAACAGTCCCTTACGTTTCTAGAGGGCTTCAGAGTGGTTCTATTTCAGCTAGCCACTATTTCATTCAGTTTTTATAACAACCAGCAGAGGTAAGTAGATCAAAGATCTGTACCTCAATTACAGGTAAAATTCAAAATCTTGAAGTAGCTCATGGCTAAGCTAAAAGTAAGACTAAGGCCTTATTCTTAGTATAATATGAAAACCTTCCGTTGGCTCTCTACGCTCTAAATTTATTATTCTGCGGATCTGACCATACTAAGCAGGCATCTCAACCCCTTCAGTTCAGAGATGGTTATATAATTAATAAAACCAGTACAAAGGAACTGGAAAATGCTTCTGGAGAAAAACATCATCAAGACGTTCTTAATAAAATGTAACCTTTCCTGAAGGAGCTTTGGTACTTGGTAGACTTCTGCTCAGCTGCACCTGGAGAAGTCCCATGTGAGTGTGGCACTTCCGTGGCTGCTGGGCCGTTACAGATGGGTCTAGCCACTGTTCCCATCTTGGCTCACTACAGGAGCCAAAGCCAGGGTAGGACATTTCACTTGTGTATCTGACTAGTTTCCGTTCCCCAGAGTAGTTTGACTTACTTAAATTTTTCTGAATTCCCTCCTGAGAAATAAAGCAGGACTTCTGAGCCAGTGTCTTACAGGAACCAGCAGAGTAAAGCCTGCTTTACTTTGCTTCCCAGAAGACTGTATCAGCCTATGCTCTCGCAAGCACATAGGAGTAACATGCATATAATTTAATTACAAGAGCCAAATGTAAAGTCCCTCACTGGAAGCCATTGGAAGGATCTGGGATTCTAAGGAAGCTGTGAGAGCGTACTTAGTAAGCAAGGGTAGCAGGTGCGAGGGGATGACTTATGCCCACTTTGTAGACCTTTCCGGTATAACAGAGATGATCTCCAATTTGTTCAATTGTTTAAGGATGCCTCTGGATAACTTTAAGCCAAGGAGAGAATTAATTGTATCAAATACTACAAAGCAGCAAGAAATCTATCTTAATTTGTTATAAAGTCAGAGTGGTATCCACAATTGAAATTTTAAGAAGGCAATCATGAATGAAAGTTATAGGTTGAGACAGATATTCAGTGAAGAATTCAAATATTCTTCAAGCAGTGCCAGAGAAACTGTGTATATGCCAGATTGAAACACTTGATTTTAAAAAACTTATTTCAGCCAGATCAATTTGCAAACACATACACACACACACACACACACACACACACACACACACACACACTTGCCTTTAGGGTAAAAGGAAACTTGAGTTAGTCATTATCAAAAGATATCATTTACCTTTCTTTTTTTAAAGCATTAATTTTTTAAACAGCCTTGATGTATTTTTTTTA